TAACAACTTCCCTAACTAATTACTAATATACCCTTAATACCATAATAATATTCATAATTCTATCCTAACAGCATTCCTATCAGAACCCCAAGTGTAGAATATTCACATTGTCTCCATCGCTCACACATTGAATATGAAGTACATTATTTCACTCAAGTAATCTTTCGGGCTTTATAGAAAAACTTGAAAACTGGTAACCATCTCAAGTAATTTTAATCAGAAATAGAGTTTTGATTTCCAATAAGAATATAGCATGCAGTAGGCAGTCCAAAAGACTGGACAACCTCTAAACTAAGAGTAAAAGTATTAAGAAAAAAAGTTTCATATAAACTATGAATGATAAAGTCAAATCTAAAGCGTTAAACATGATTAAATCACTAATGAACCTAAAAACTTAAGCTTAACACTCTCCTCACGTATGGTTTTGAAAATTTGCACAAGATCCAACAAGTAGAAATGAATCTAGATAGGGAGAATGTTAAGACAGGGGTTCAAACATAGAACCTCCTATTCTGATATCATCTTAAACAAGATTAAACCAACAATGAACCCAAAAGCTTAAACTTAACATAAAGGTTTGCATTCCTACACTATATATATCTTTTACTCAAGTCCAAGAAATGTTTTGGTTCAAAATATATTTCTTAGAAGGTGGTGCCCTATTCCTTCCTCTTTGTGTAGTAGACCTTTTGCACCCAGTTGGACAGTGGGATGCAAGCTGGTTCCTTAGAGGATCTACGAATTTGGAGTGACTCTATCTATCTAAGCTGTAAAAATCCACCCACAATGAATTTGCCTTACTGCCTGACTGGAGAAACTCAATTGTAGTATGGAAATCAAATTAACTATCAGAAGCTTGAAAGCAGAGGAAACATTACTCACTTTCAGAGCAGTTGGATCTTTTGGGTTGCTACGAAGTGTATCCTCATATTCTTTGAGCATATTCTGCCACATTCAGAGTAAAGGTGTTAATGATCTCTCATTAAATTGTCGTTATATATTGTCATTAAAGAGCACATAACATCTTTGAATACCAAACCCTAAACCTGAAGAAAATCCGAAAGTACATTTTAATTTATTAGTTAATATTGTCGAACTTATCTTCAAGTGTCCTTCAACCTAAATTTCCATAATTAGAAACAGAAAACAAATAAAAAGTGACAGTCCTCTATTTGCAATGAGCCAAGCTTGCTCGAGGGTTATTTTGAATTGACAACTTCCGTTTTGTGTGACTATATATTGATAAACTAAGATTATGGTATTAAATGATTTCCGCTCAAAAATTTTAATCGATTTTAGATTTGACTCTAAACATAAAACTAGAGGCACCTGAGTGTCAAAATGCCTTCAACTTTAAATACAAGTTAAGGCATCCTTATTTTCCTTGGATACCACAGAAGTTTTTTTATTTTTATTATTTTTTTCCATAATTTTAATTTTGAGGTTTTTACTCTTCAAAATGCTTTTCTATTAAAAGCTTATATAATAAATAAAGTTACAAATTTTGTTGCTGAAGTTTGTTAGTTGGGTATATTTAGTCCAACTTAAAAAATTTCAAATAACATCCATAAACTTTCTATTATAATTTTAAGAAGTCTCATCTAATGAAATAATTACTTAAATATCAATGTGATTGTACTAATGAACAATGATTTGGTATGACATGGCTATATGGTAGCAAAAGTGATTCAAGACTAACAGGGGCTGTAAACATGGAAGGTGAAGATTGAGAATGTAACGTGGGGAATCAAAAGTCCCGGAACCAAATGAATGAGTTTGGAATGAAATAATATGGTGGTCGGCAATCATATACTTGTCTTTGGAAGATTTAATATATATAATGATCGGGAATAAAATGTGTTTGGGATGATGGAATGGATTTAAGAAGCTTGAGAATTTGGAAGTGTTTGGGATGATGGAATGGATTTAAGAAGCTTGAGAATTTGGAAGTGTTTGGATTTGTGGTAAGATTTGTTAAAATGGAATTTCAATATTGTTTTAAGCACTAATTAATTCTATTCGTTTGTTTTAAGTTCAAAGGAGTGGAGGTGGAATTTGAACCTTTGACCTTTAGAATAATGCTTTAAGTTGATATTAAATGTTAATTTTTTAACATGTCCATTTTCACATTTGATTGATAGTATTTAATAAATGTATAATAATTCATTAACTATTTAAAAACAATATTAAAATGTAAGATATATTCATCAAAATAAATTGTAATATAAAGTGGTATAAAACAATTAAGTGAAACAACTTAATTAATTTAAAAGATGAATCTTTCACCAATGAGAGAGGAAGAGAGAGTTTTTTCAAAGAAAAAAAAAAAAAGATCAGGTTGAGTCGAAGGAACATGAAGGGAGAATTTAGTTTGGCATCCTCATACCAAATGGTGGATAGGCTCATAAACCTATTATCATGGCCTAAATCATTCCAATATCATACCCCCACGGCACCTTAAAGATTTCAAACCTAGGTCAGAATACCATTTCAAAAAAGTACACCACCCATTTTTCTTTAAACATCATGGACTGTAGAGACATGTTAAACTTCAGCTGAATTCTCCATGCAAGGAAACAATGCATTAAAATCGTTTGGACAAATTGCATTGATGTAACTGATATAGCTTTCTTTAGTTTATTGGTTGTTAGTCAGTTAGTTATTGTGGTTAGGTTGGTTGGTTAGATCCTATTCGGTTAGTAAAGCTCATGCCAAGCCTTATGCCTATAAATAAGAGGCTGTTCTCATTTGTAAGATTGAGATTTGAGTAATAAAGTCCTTTCTCTCCATTTGGTTGACACCATGCACAAACCATCCCTAAAGTATGGTAGTTGTTACAATTGCACCTCTAAACTTTTAATTGTAAAAAAATTTCAAAATTAAACCCTCAAACTTTTATAAATGAAAAAAATTAGACCCCTGTAGTAAAAGTTAAATCCTTAAAAATTTATAAGTGAGAAAATTTCACCCCTTAAATTCTCAATGGTAAAGATTAAACTCTCAGTTAAAAATAAAAAATAAAAAATAGATGTATTTGAAAATTTCATACAAAAACTTCTCTTTGTTCGGCTCCATTGATGTTGCCGGAGAACTCCATTCATCTCTCGACCTGCTGTTCGTAATGGAAAGAAGACGATGTATAGTGGCGGCCATGGTTAGATCCTGGTTTGGTCCATGGTAGCTCAAAAGGAAGCAGGAATTACACCCCATTACTGAAGACCATGTAACTAAACTAATTTGGGGATAAAGAAAAGAGAAAAACAATTGAAGATCTGGTCTCAAATTTCTACCTTCAAGAGCCAAGAAAAGAAGCAAGGAAGTGAAAAGAAGAAGATGCACGTACAAATTCTCACTTCCAATGAAGAATTTGAGAATCAGGATCATACAAGAATATTTCTAAACTAAAAACAGGCCTTTAGAGATCGAAAAGGGACTTCTAATAATTTGATTTCAAAACTAGTTCATGCCACTGAGTCTGAACTTAGCTGCAAGCTCAATCGCGAGCAATTGGGAGAAACCCAAAATTGAAATGCATATAAATCTAAAGATTTAATAACAGACTACAAGAATTCAACCCCTGTATTTGTGTTACGAACTTGGGAAGATTGTGTGTTTTATTAGGGCAAAATTGGATATGGAGAGAAGAACATAGTGTGGATTATTGGGATAGAGAGAATTTTTCCGACAAAATTTTTCGATAACGAGTTACTCACCATGTGAACTTCCAGAGTGAATTTTCCCATTTGACATCAATGAAGCCGAACGTTTTCAGCTGGATGAGTATAAAAGAAGGTTTAAATTTAAATGGTGCAATTTTCATTAAGAGTTATTTTTTCATTTACAAAAATTAAAGGTTCCATTTTTGCAATTGAAAATTTAGGGGTGCAGTTGTAACCACTATCATCGCTTTGTACAATTTATCCAAATCGTTTTTATTTCCAAAACACTCCTTGGTATTGGAGAATTTATCCAATCGCCAGCCAAATTCTTCGTGCAAGGGAAGACTGAAAGTTGTCCATTAACTGCTACTTCTAAATGCTCAGCAAGCAGTCCAATTGTATTAAGTCTGCTTCGGAAAGCTCGACACCAGAATAAATGACTTTTTCAGGTACCATAAAATTAATTCCATCACCACCAGCATTAACATCTTTTCTCTCACCCTTTTGTTTTCTTCGGCTGTAGACAAACTAGAAGCCTTCATTAAAATTCTCCTCAGAAATTGTTTTCTTTTTTGATAATCAGAACTGAATTTTGGAACACTCAACTTCTTTTTATTTCAAAAAACAAGCAACATTTAATGAATCAACAACCTTCTCTGAAAATGAGTGCTCCCCATGCACAACCACCGAGTTAACTTCCTTTTTCCGACCAACCATATGGTCCTTATCATGCATGGCAGGCACCTCATGCATGCCTACCTAATTAATTAGTTGCTCTCCATGCAAAGCATCAGAATTAATTTGAATTTTGGGCAACACAAATGAAATATCATCACCACCAACAACCTCCTTAGTTATTGCCGAATTGAAAACCGACGGCAATCGCTTAACTTCTTGAACCACTCCAACTTTTTACCAGTCATGGAGGGATGATCAGGAGACCGTTCACCTTTATTTACTTCCATAGCTCGCAAATAATCCAATGGATTACTAAACCAATCAAAATCCATGATGTTCAAAATTTCAACTCTAGATGAAGCACAATCAAATCAAGGAGAAATTTGAACAACCACATTTCCGAGAACTGATTCATGAACGACCACATTAGCTGGAACGGAACCACACTGATTCTTTGTTAGACCTCCCATAGTAAATACTTATGGCAGGAAAGGGAAGGATAAGAAAGGGAATTAACTATGTTACGGAAAGGAGAGAGAAAGTAGTGACCTATCATTGTGAATAAATAGTGAGAAGGCTGAAGTAGTGAGGGGCGAGAATTTCGTGCTAAGAGTATAGCAGAAAAGTAGGAGAGATTCCCCACCCTCTCGAATAGGTGGGTCGGCTCTGTAATTGCCCTTGGGCCTTTTGTTTCTCATTAGAACAGTACTCTTGGTGAGGGATACCTCACAACTTGGTATCAGAGAATCACGATACTGGGAGGACGATGACTATGAAGGAACTAGAAATACGTTGCGAGGCTGCGGAGAAGGAAATTGCGGACGTAAAGGTGGAAATCACGTCGCTACATCGCAAGCTTGATGAACAACAGAAGTTAAGCGAGAGTATCCATGTAATGCTGAAGGCATTCACGACGGAGATTATAGGAGGAAATTCACAATCGTCTTCCTCGATCACCGGTGAATTATCAGTCCAGAAGGGGAAGGGGCTGGAACCAGAGGAAACTGTGACTGGTCAGGCGGACCAGTTTCACGATCGCAATCGCTTTAAAAAGGTAGAAATGCCGATCTTCGCCAGGTTGGACCTGGAATCGTGGCTTTTTTAGGGCGGAGCGATATTTCGAAATTCAGAAACTGATGGATGCTGAAAAAGTGATCGTACCAGTAATTACCTTCGATGGAATCGCCTTAGCGTGGTACATGTATATTGAGAATCGAGTTCGATTCAAGGATTGGAACGACCTCAAATCGCGATTGCAGATCAGGTTTCGTTTGTCGAAAGAAGGACGACAATGTGCTCAACTTCTTTCCATCAAACAAGAAGGTACGTTCACTGGATATCGATAGAAATTTGAAGCTCTGGTCGCTGCTCTCCCTCAACTGACGGATGAAGTATTGGAGAGTGCCTTCCTTAATGGTTTAGATCCGGTGGTTCGGGCTGAGGTCTTGGCTTTAGAGCCCGATGGGTTGGACCAGATGATTCGAAAAGCCCAATTAATAGATGATGTGAGTACGGTGGTCCAAGAGGCTGGAAATACCGCCGTCCCAGGAACACAGAATGCAAGCTACTCCACGAATAAGCTTTCTACGACTAAGGGACCTGAGGTAATTCCAACTTGAACTGTCACTATTACTAGTAAACCTACTTTCCCTGAGCAGGCGATTAAGAAGGAGACGCCATACAAAAAATTAACAGAGGCGGAGTATCAAAAATGGCGGGAAAAGGGCTTATGCTTCCGTTGCGAGGAGAAATTCACGGTTGGCCATCGATGTAAAAATCGGGAGTTGCGAGTGATTGTAGTCCACGACGACGAGTTGTTAGAAATGGAAGAGGAAATAGCAGAGACGACGTAGGGTAGTACTCCGATAGAGGCAAATGGAATGGCGAAATGCCAACTCAACACGATTGTGGGATTCTCGACGCCAGGGACTATTAAAGTTCGAGGTACCATACAGGGTCGAGACGTGATCGTTCTGATCGATTGTGGGGCTACCCACAATTTCATCTCCCTATCCTTGGCGGAGGAATTAAAATTGCCGATGACAGAAACAATCCATTACGAGGTGATTATGGGATCGGGAAATGCTGTTAAGGGCAAAGGAATTTGTAAAGGTATAGTTCTTTCCTTACCAGAACTCACCATTAAGGAAGATTTCCTCCCCCATTTTGGGAACCCTTGATGTTGTGCTAGGGATGCAATGGTTACAGCTGATGGGAAAGATGGATGCCGATTGGCCAGCTTTGTCCCTAAGTTTCTATCAAGGGGGAAGGAAGGTAACTATCAAAGGGGATCCAACCTTGGCCCGGATAGAGGTATCCTTAAAACGCTTGACAAAAAAATGGGCACCACAAGACCAAGGGTTCTTGGTGGAGCTGAGAACTTTGAACGCGACTAATCTGGGAGATCCACCGTATAATGGCACGGTTCATCCCAAAATCCAAGAGCTATTAGAGGAGTACTCTGATTTGTTTCAGGATCCCATGGAACTACCACCACACCGGGCAATTGATCACCGAGTTCCTTTAAAGGAGAGCCAACCACCGGTGAATGTGCGGCCATATAGATACCCTCATGTTTAGAAGGCAGAAATTGAGAGACTCATCAGTGACATGCTCGACGCAGGGGTGATACGGCCAAGTGTGAGTCCTTTCTCAAGTCCGGTAATCCTAGTAAAGAAGAAGAACGGAAGCTGGAGGTTCTGTGTGGATTATCGAGCACTAAACAATGTAACCATTTCGGACAAGTTTCCTATACCAGTCGTGGAGGAATTGCTTGATGAGCTACATGGATCAACCATCTATTCGAAAATAGACTTGAAATCAGGGTATCACCAGATTAGGATGGCTGCAGATGATGTACATAAGACTGCTTTCCGCACTCATGATGGGCACTATGAGTTCTTGGTCATGCCGTTTGGGCTGACTAATGCCCCATCTACTTTTCAATCGTTGATGAATGATGTTTTCAGGCCATTACTTCGCCGTTTCGTCCTGGTCTTTTTCGACGATATCCTAGTTTACAGTCCAGATTTGACAACACACTTCAATCATTTGGGTGTAGTTTTCAACACTCTAAGGGAACATTCTTTACTCGCAAACTTTACAAAGTGTCACTTCGCAGAGACTCGCATTGAGTACCTAGGATATTGGGTGTCTGCCGGTGGGGTTGAGGCCAATCCATCCAAGGTACAAGCAGTGTTGCAATGGCCAACTCCGTCCACACTGAAAGAGCTTCGCGGGTTCCTTGGGTTGACTTGATATTATTGAAAGTTTGTCGCGAACTATGGGGCCATTGCAGCTCTGTTGACTAAGCTCCTAAAGAAGGATGCGTTTCTGTGGTCTGAGCAGGCAACAAATGCCTTTGAGCAGTTGGAGAACGCTATGGTTACCTTACCGGTCTTGGCCTTACCAGACTTTCGCATCCCCTTTGTTATTGAGACTGATGCTTTAGGTTTGGGATTGGGGGCCGTACTTATGCAGAATCAAAGACCAGTGGCTTACTTCAGTCACACCCTTTCTTTACAAAACCAGGAAAAATCCATTTATGAAAGGGAATTAATGGCGGTGGTTTTAGCTGTCCAACGATGGCGACCTTATTTGCTTGGGCAACGGTTTATTGTTAGAACCGATCAACAAGCACTCAAATATTTGCTAGAACAATGAATTGTGCCACCAGAATATCAGAAGTGGATATCCAAGCTATTAGGCTATGACTTCGAGATCCAGTATAAACCGGGTCTAGAAAACAAGGCCGCCGACGCCTTGTCTCGTATGCCACCTACCGCACAATTGGCCTCTCTTTCAGCGCCCACAGTCATTGACATCGACACAATAAAGGCGGAGGTAGCAGCTGATGCACGCTTTTCCCAGATCATCGCGGCACTATCCCTCGATCCAGATAGCGTACCTAAGTTCCAGCTGCAGCAGGGTGTACTACGCTACAAGGATAGATTGGTAATCTCTAAAACCTCCACGCTCATACCTGCTATCCTTCACATGTTTCATGATTCAGTGTTAGGGGGTCATTCTGGTTTCTTATGCCCTTACAAACACATGACTGGGGAGTTATATTGGCCAGGGATGAAAAACGATTTTAAAAAATATGTCGAAGAATGTGTAACATGTCAGCGGAACAAAACTGAATCCCTATCCCCTGCGGGTCTGCTTCAACCGCTGCCTTTACCAGACCAGATTTGGGAGGATTTGTCCATGGATTTCGTAGAAGGATTTCCCAAATCTCTTGGTCATGATATGGTTTTTGTAGTGGTCGATCGGATGAGCAAGTACGATCACTTCATCCCTCTGTGTCATCCTTTTACTGCAAAAACAGTGGCCACAGTTTTTATTAGAGAAGTCGTGCGTCTTCATGGATCCCTCGATCTATTGTGTCGGATAGGGATAAAATCTTAATCAGCCACTTCTGGACGGAATTATTCCAGCTCCAGGGTACTAAGCTCAAGCGCAGTACGGCATACCACCCGCAAACAGATGGCCAGACCGAAATTGTCAACCGCTGTTTAGAGTCCTACTTACGGTGCTTCTGTAGTGAACGACCGAAACAATGGGGGCAATGGCTATCTTTGGCTGAGTATTGGTATAATACTACCTACCATAACTCCCTCCGTGCCACTCCTTTTCAGGCAGTCTATGGTCGAAACCCACCCCCATCGCTCCTCTATGGCAGTCAACGGACGGCGAACGCCACGTTAGACCAGCAGTTGGCTGAGCAGGATACTGCTTTGGAGCGTCTCAAAACGCATTTAAGGTTGGCCCAAGAGCGCATGAAGAAGCAAGCCGATAAGCACCGACGGGATGTAGAATTTGAAGAAGGTGATTATGTTTTCCTCAAGGTTCGACCCTACAGGCAAACAACTGTGGCTGCTCGACGGAATGAGAAGTTGAAAGCTAAGTTTTTTGGGCCCTATCTAATTCTCCAACGGGTAGGAAGGGTTGCTTATCGCCTGGAATTGCCACCGGACGCTCGCCTCCATCCGGTCTTCCATGTGTCCCAGTTGAAGAAAGCTAGGGGCAACTGGTCTGCTTCTTTTCAGTTACCACCTCAGCTAACGGAGGAATTTGAATGGCTTCTTGAACCCGAAGATATCTTTGCGACACGCACTAATGATGACACTGGCATACCGGAGGTCCTTGTCAACTGGAAAGGTCTCCCCGAAGAAGATGCAACCTGGGAACCCATCCCAGATCAGTCCCAACAATTTCCTCTTTTTCACCTTGAGGATAAGGTGCCTGTTGATACGGGGGTGATGTTAGACCTCCCATAGTAAATATTTATAGCAGGAAAGGGAAGGGTAAGAAAGGGAATTAACTATGTAACGGAAAGGAGAGAGAAAGTAGTGACCTATCATTGTGAATAAATAGTGAGAAGGCTGAAGTAGTGAGGGGCCGAGAATTTCGTGCTAAGAGTATAGCAGAAAAGTAGGAGAGATTCCCCACCCTCTCGAATAGGTGGGTCGGCTCTGTAATTGGCCTTTTGTTTCTCAATAGAACAGTACTCTTGGTGAGGGATACCTCACATTCTTCTTCACCTCAATGGAAGCCTCAAAGCAATTCAACAAGTTGATGGTTTCTGTTTCCGAAGAAATTTATCTTTCCAGAACCCAAAAAATTAAAAAAAATTCACGTCTTGTAGAGTGATCCAAAATTTTAAAGGGTTCAAAATAACTTATTCCACCTTAAGCACTCGCAAAAAACCACAATATGAAGTTATCAAATGCAGTATTCTTCGAAGAACAATTTCATAGAAAATTCTTGTGTCATTCTTAAACAGATCTACAAGCATACTACAATTCTTGATATAAAACCTAAAAAATTATTCAAAATGAAAAAAAGTCACCAAATATAAGAAATTTATGTTTCGGGTTTGTCAAAAACAACATTTATAATTATTATAGTATTATAGCTTCCACCACACCTATCTCGAAAACATCTTTAGACCAGCAATAAACAATATTTTTTTTAGTAAAAACATCCTAAAGTATTGATCAAGTTGATTGAGGGTGTTTAATGTTTTTCTTGGGTGCTTTGATGAGCTGATTTTCGTTTCTATTAGGGGAGTTTTTTTTTCATATTTTGTTTATACCTTTCTATCAGTAAAGGTGCACCACCCTGAGAATATCCAGTCCCAGTGTACGTCATAAAATCTATGGTATTATGGTACTACACAAACCTCTTTCAGCATGACATTACTGAACCCAAAAATGATATCTCTACTATTTCCTAATACCCTTCGGTGGCACTATCAAAAAGTCATCTGAAGAGGACATTACAGTGAACGTGTACACTAAAAAACAAAAGAGAAGAAAAGAATAACATATTTTAGGCACTTCCAAGAATGTTTTGTATAATGATAAGAGACACAAGGCATTTCCAAGGATGTTACCTGAAGATTACTTTTCTCTTCTCCAGATAGTTTGTTAGTTACCACCATAGAATCCTCAACAGGACTGATACTGAAAATGTTAGGGCAAAAAAATTCCAGACTTTTATCTAGCAGTCAGTAATGCAATGAGGAAAATTTCCAAAACAAGAAAATTGATTGCAGCTAGCTTCTGTGACTCGCACGAAAGGCTTCATTGAATGAAATATATACCTTCCACAAAAGAGAATACAAAACATCCCATCACATTCCCAAATTCAGGAAACCCAGCTATAAAACAATACAGCCAAAGCCTTGGAGATATCAAGTTTATGAACAAAATTATTTATAAGTTTTCGTTTAAAACAATGAATATTGAGCTCACTTTACATCAATGAAACAACTTGTTTTAGAATATTCCAAGAGTTAGGAACCAAGTACATGCCCGGGTTGTGATTAATAAATATTGTCTTCTTATCTCGGTCAGCTTGTCTCTAGGTTGCAGTGGGGACCATACCAAGTACATGCCTGTCTCTGGGCTCCAGCGAGGACTATCGCCTATCTCTTATCTCAGTCTGCCTTTAGGGGGGAAATCTTCTTCTCTTTCTTTTTGGGATCTGGTCATGGAGAAGGCTAGGAGCAAGCTTGCTAAATGGAGAAGCTTATATCCAAAGGAGGTAGACTCACGTTGGTAAATTCGGTCCTCACAAGCGATTATTGTTGGATTTCTTTTATATTTATCGTAAATTATTCGTTGTCCATATTAATGAGTTAATTTTTTTCCTTATTTATATTTGGTCTTATATCCTAGTATGTGATTCAATAGATAGAAGAAATATAATAATTTTATTTCTTCCTAAAATTCTAGTTGGTATCAAAGTGGAAAAACCCTAGTTTTTAGAAACTCTATCAACCACAGAGGCTGCTCTTGAACAGAACACCCTACTTCCAATAGGTGTATTTGCGTTTGCAAAAGATAATAAAGAAACTAGTTTGATGTAAATGGGTGTTACCACAAAATGTAATGTTGATGGTAATGTTGAAAGATACAAGGCTAGATTAGTAGCTAAAGGTTTTACCCAAATCTATGAATTGATTATCAAGTGACGTTTACTCCTGTTGCTAAAATTAACTCCATCAAAATTTTATTGAATTATGCAGTTCGGGCCTTACTTTGGTTGATTTTGAGAGAACGCAACAGCAGACTTTTTGAAGGAAAAAAGTCCTTTCAAGATTCTTTTTGTCATAGTGTACAACACAATGCCTCTTGGTGGGCTACAAAACACAAAAACTTCTTTTGTAATTACAGTCTCTTTGTGACTTGACAAAGATTGAAAAGCTACTATGGTCTAAGTTTGTGGGAAGGTCAATCTCCACCCGCGCCCTTAGGCTGCGCTTCTTTTTTGAGTTTTTTTTATTAAAGGTGTTTCTTATCCAAAAAAGAAAACTCCATCAGAATCCTCGTCTTTTGTAGCTATCAACTAGATGTGAAAAATGTTTTTCTCAATGGTGATTTTGAAGAAAAGGTGTTTATGAGTAAATAGTAAAGTTTGAATATTAAAGAAATCATTATATGGTATGAATCAATCTTCAAGAGCTTGGTTTGAACACCTTGGAAAAGTAGTCACTAGCTTTAATGCTGTCAAAGCCCTTCTACCAGAGTTTTGGATGGAAAGGAATTTGCAGATTTTCAAAGAAAAGAGCCTGTCTTTGGTTGATCACTTCAACTAAGTTCAAAGCTTCCGAGTGGTGTTCTTTAAATTTCTTTTCGAATTATTCGCCTAATCTTATTTGTAACAACTAGGGAGCCTTCATTTCCCCTTTGTAGATTTCTGTGTGCTTTTTCTTTCTTGTTTTACATTTATTTTCACTCTTTCGGGAGTTTGTATTTTTGAACCATTTTTATTCTTTTCCATATATCAATGAAAAGTTAGTCTCTTGTTCGAAAAAGAAAAAAATTCCTTGATCTATAAAGAATTTTAAGATAGGACTAGATTTACAAAAGAAATACCAGGAATCTGTAAGGTCCAAGAAGGGCCTAGAAGAGTATATTTTAGTTGGGCTCCAAGCATGTTTTGCCTATAATAGGAGATGTGTCCCTTCATATTAGATAAGCTAGAAAAGCTAGGAAAGTGTGGGGAGTGAGAAGTGAGAAAAGTGAGTGAAGTTAGAGAAAGTGAGAGAGTCATTCTCTCAAAAAGTGTCCTTTGTTTTTTCTTAATAAAAGTTTCTTCATCAAGACTTTCTCTCCTCTCTTTTGTGCTAATTTTTCTACATGGTCTTCATCAAAAAATCAGGTCACAAATTAAGAAAAAAAATATATGGACAAATTTAGTGGCTTTGAAAAACAACACATAGTAAGGTACCTATGCAATACCTTCCAGAGGGAAGAAAGTCTCCAAGAGCAAAAACCAACCCGAATGTCAAAACAGCTACACCTATTCCAATCTACTTGCAATACAGTTGAATTAGCATTCCCTGAAAAGAACAAAATTGATCTGACCACACATTTCTTACCTTGGTACCAAGTCCAATTGTTTTATCTTCCGATTCAACTGGTGCATCGTAGTCAATTGCTCCAAATTCTTTTTTATTGTCTACCTTTTTCTTCTCAAGTGCTGATCTGTATTTTTTTTTTTTTAAATTTCATTGATATATGAAAAGCAGAAAAGTTCAAGATAAAAACTCCCTAGGGAGTGAAATAAAAAAGAAATAGTTTTCGGGATACATTTTCTGGGTCACAGATAAAATGGTTCAAAAAGTACATCTAAATAATTTAGCTACTACGATAAATTTTTATAAGCTGAAATTTACAACTGTAACAGAAATAAAGAAACGCTTTCCTTTATTATTCAGGATTTATTTCCTGCTTTTTGAGAACTTACTGTTTGCTCCTTTCTTGTATATTCTTTCTTATTCCTTGTATAATTTTCATCCGTTTCTGTTTCATATTTTAAAAAATGTAAACAAAGAAGAAGAAGAAATTTTATAAAAGAACCCATCCATTGGCCTAGTAATCATTTAGACAAGTGAAAAAGTAATTGAGTTTGGGAAGTACGGGGTCAAGAACCATAGTGACTACCTACCTAACATATCAAAATTCTACGAGTCCCTCAACAATCAAATGTTAAAAATCTTCTCAGAAAGATAATGTATATTGGATGTTATTCAAACATATCAAAATATATGCTTCATGCTCAAAAGATAGAAAATTAAACTCATCCGTGCATACAACAATTTAATAATTTACATGTACCAATTAATATTACACAGTAGATTTTATTGATTATATCTATAATAAAATTAAATATAATTTACTGAATCATTAGAATACTTCCCCTATTATCTATAATAAAATTAAATATAATTTACTGAATCATTAGAATACTTCCCCTATTTTAGCGAGTTGAAAAAGTTACTATATATACTAGGAACTTTATTGTAACAAAAAAAAAAAAAATCTTTCAATTCAATTTACATTGACTTTGTCAACTCTGACATTATTCAAAAATATATTTTGAAGATTTTAAAAAATCAATCAATGTTTTAATTTTTTATTTGTTTTTTTTATATCCATAAGAGTCTGGGTCAGCTTGCGCGCACCTCGACTAATCTCACGAGGCAACCACCTGACCCTACAACATTTGGTGCCGGAAATACATAGAAAGCACTAATTCCTACGGTGGGTGGCGGCCATCATGGGTTTGAACCCATTCCCTCTCAATTAACCCTAGCCCATTTGGACCAATGAGCCACCTATCACGAGGTGAAATCGAGCATAAGGTGGGTAGGTGAATGAGGCCTAGACCACTGGCACATGGGATCAAAGTGCGACGTGATGAAGCCAAGTTGCACGATTAAGCTTCATTTTTTGTGTAATGTTTAAGCTTCATTTATTAAGTTTGGTTTGTTTGTATCTTTTTATTTTTTTTATTTTTTTATTTTTTCCTTCTTCATCCCCTTCATTTCACCCCTTTGGGGGGGTTTGTATATTTGAACAATTTTTTGTTCCTTTTCATTTATCAATGAAAAGTTCGTTTCTTGTTCAAAAAAATTATTATTATTATTATTATTATTATATATATATATATAATAAAAAGTAAGAACATTATACCTTAAGTAAGTAATTATTATCCACAATCCTATTTAAAATTTTTGCCAATTGGAGTAGTATTTTCTTTTCCCCCTTGGCCTTAGGGTGGGTAACCCTCTACTGTATACCTTAAGATAGAGCTAGAACTATGAATTTCCCCAGGAGTTCAGGTCATTTATACATGGTTCTTATACACCAGCAGAAAGCCTACAGTTCTCAGATAAATATTTCATAAGAGAAGTGATGGAGACCCACTCAAGAAGTAAGAGAAAATCTCAATCTGTTTTTATTAATTGAAACAGTACCCTATATATATATAGGGGTTACAACTAACAGCAACTAAAGTAACTAACAATAGCTAACAAACAATAGTAACTTGAAGTTACTAAACAGTAAAAGGGTCCTTTAAAAGAACTACAAATATAAGCTAAACTTAAAAGACTAAACAAGTTACCCAAGGCCACACAGCTACATCAATTTTCCCCCACCTAAAAAAAACTCGTCCTCGAGTTTCAATCAGCTAACAAAAACTCATCAGGGGGATAGAAGGGATGAATATCTG